AGCGTGGCCGCGAAATTCACGGCATTCCGCGCGAACGGGCGCCCCCCCAACCGCGATCATCGCGGCTGCGAAACGAATCGGTCGCGTGATCGGTAGGAAAATATTTACGAGGGCTGCTTATTGCTTATGATGCGTGGAATGCAAAGCGAACTAGCTGCGAGTGAATGGCGGCCTTGGATACGCGATGCTCGCCTCACGGCGCGATCCACGCCGATGGGAAATCCGTGAAGCTGGTCAATGTGTTTCCTTCGAATTAAGGGCGAATCGCCTGAACGTTGTTGTGCCGACATCAAAATGCATTAAGAAATGTATTTATGTAGATGAGATATTTAGGTGGCGTTTTTTTTAGGGTGAGACACCCTGTATATATTTTAATTCTATGCTTTCTGAAGGGACTTCGAGATGTAACCAAAACGTTGCAACTATTGAACTCCTAAAATGTTTACTTTTCAACGCCTACAATAAAGGAACTGCCTTTCCAACTTCCCTTTCGTTACTTTGTTTATTGAGAAACGTGCAAAGTAATATTACGTTCGCACGTAGATTCTAATTTCTATGGTATCATGTAACATATCCGATCGTCCAATACGGTGAAAGGCCAGGAGGACCTTATTTCCACGAATCTATCGAGACGAGTATCGAACTGGAAAGGCTAGCTGTCTGATATTGCTCGTTAGAAGCGCTTACCTCGTGGTGTAAAATCGCCTCGATATCGCGAGGTTGGATTCTCCAGTGCGATGCAAGCCTCTGCAATCTTTCCTTTGCGCGTCTGTAATCAGAAAAACATTTTTTATCGTTAGGTGAAGGTTACAAGGGCCAACAAGCAGTACTCGTTTTCTTCTAATTAATATAAAAAAAAAAAAAGGTTGATATAATCTTGATAAAACTGAAGGTGTTTCATTAAGTTGAATGATATTAAAGTTAATATAATTAAAAATTCTGTTTTGATCAAAACGATTGAAAACTAAACTTGGAATAATATAATAAAAGTAACGAGTAAAAATTATCATGTTTTTTTGTTCGTTTCTCATTGTTTAGATTCCATTATCCTTATATTGTATTTGTATAATTGTTGCGTGTTTTATACTAAAAGGTTCTCTAATTAATAATAATAATTACCTTTCGACGGCGATGACCCAAGCTTCTCGCACCCGACCAGCCTTGAACCCGTCCAACTCTGCTGCAAATAATTACCAACAAATTAATCGTCAATTTCATCGTTTAATTTTTGGCATCTATAATCATACTTATTTAAACTGTGTTATCATATTTGTGTTGAAGAATTAATGTAAACACTAGGATATTCCCTCCGTATATGGCGAACAAATTTCGAATAAAGAAACATTTTTCTGTTTCCTTCCTGTCTTCCCTTAATAAAGATCCTAGCTAATATCTCCGCAAATCAGATAGCCTATCCATCAGAACATAAGGAGTGACAACAAATAATTTCACTTGATTTTGAAATTAATAATAGAAATTTTAAAAAATTCACAGGTAGAACAGAGGTTGTCTAAAAATTAAACGTAAGACTGAAACATCTTTGTTATTCGATCCGCGACGCGTACCACTTTCAAATGAATCGAAATCCTCGTCCTCGTCGTCAATGAACTTAATAGCGGACAGATCAAAATACTTCGCAACGTCCTCTGACTCCTGATCTCTCGCTGGAAACTCGATCGACTTCGACGAGTCGTCGACCACGGATTCGTCGACGACGAACGTCTGTCCGTCGAGACCATCTCTGGAGCATCCGCAGAGAATCTTTCGAAAGAACTTGGACATCCTCGATCGCCCAAAGATGTGCAAAATTTTGTTCAAATTATGGTCAACAAACAGAAACCTTTATTTAAATATTTCTCTAATGTTTTTTATATTTATTTTCTTTTATTTTACTTTTCAGTCACTGAACATTGGCTTCACTTGTTTACACTTAACTACGATGTTCGAAACGATTTAGGCCGTTCAGTGGTCAATTACTATGAACCAAATTCTAATTTTTGATTCAACGAGTTAAGCATAGCGATTTACTTGCGACATTTATTAGGTGTCCAATTTATTAGGTGTGAATACTTGTACTTTTATTTGTTCACTGGGAAATATTTAATTTCATGCTCGAAATTACACTTTTTATACGACGAGTAACGGACCGCAAGTTATTTATGTTTTATTCGTTATTATAAACGTTCATCCAGATAAGAATTTTGCAAAATCCGTGTCGAGGAGCTTCTCCCGACAGAAAGCTACTCCCAAGTGCACGACCTCTGGCCTCTTCCGCGACGCCACTTGTTTTGGATCGCTCTCATGTCCGGAGCGACGCGACCGTCGGAAAGTTCGTTTATTAAACGAAACCGTGTCGCTTCACGCGACGCGTAAATCGCGATGTCCGTCGAAGCTTCTCCGAAACGACAACGAGAACGCTTGGCAATTCTCGTCCCACGAGTTCGAACGAAAAAGCAGGAAGGACAGCGTGGGATCGACGAGAGGCACACACTTGGAAAAAGGTTGTAAACTGGCGAAATTTTGAGGAGAGTTCACGAGCAAGAGACGCCGACGACGTTCGCGTGCACGTGTCGCCGGGACCATAGAAAATAAACTCTCCACTCGGGTCCGAGAATGGATGGCACGTACGAACGAACGAAGAGGGTTTATATTTGGAACCGCTCACTGGCACCGACGAGAAAAATTAACGACGAGGACCGTAGACGACGCTGTAGCTTCACCTTTACGCCACTGTGAATCGCGAGTAGCTTACTCCCTATTCAGGACAATAATAGTAATAAATTAATTTGGTCGGCATACGGAGGCAGAGTGACATTAATTAAAAGTAATTACTACGTTATAGTAGCAAGACACGTTTCGTATTATACATGTCAAAGAAGAAGAATAAATAATTCTGGAGTTTGTATGTTGAATGAAATTAAAGGCTATTAACTGTTTAATTAGAAAAGCAAAGAAGAATCTACACTATGGGTAGAAAATATGTATGTATAGTGGATAAAAAAGTATGTAGTAAATATACACGGTACATAAATATTTGAATAAAAATAAAACAAACAAAAAATTCGACCAGCCGTCCCAGACTTATTTATTTAAAAACGCCACGTGAGATCGACTGCACGAGCAATTTCGACCAAAGCCTGCCGCAAAAACGCTCGCGGTTCCTCGACCTATTACCTCCAGTGGAAAAGGCAATCGAGTCGGACACGTAACGCGATTCGCGCAAACACCTAGCAAACGGGAGTTTGGATCAACCCCATCCCCCTCTGTCTCCCGGTTAACGCGCAAATTTACCTACTCGTTGCACACGAGCTCTCGTTTCGAGGCCGATGCATTCGCGAAGAAGATTCGCCACAATGCTACGCCGGTGGTCCGTTTTCTGCGTTGAAGCGAACTTGGCATCGCGCCAGAACGCGTTCAAATATCGCCAAGCGATTCGGAGAAAGTGCATCCTCCCTCTTGTCTTGCAGAGACAATTTTCCAAGGGCAAGTCCATCCTCGTCATCCGCAATGTCAGCCATGTGCTAATGTCAGCATGGAACAATGCCTGCCTCTCTGCCTCCCTTTTTTCTGTTGCGTTTTCCGTCATCTTTCGACTCGATAATTGTAGATCTCTGTACAGGGTGTGCAAAAACGAACGGTCGCAACTTTCGCTGGCGAATGTACGCATCCAAATAGGTGGACATTTTGTTTCGCCGAAGGTTTCCGTGATAAATCTCCAACGATCCGGATGTATAAATACACAGATATAGATTTATTTCTGAGAAACGTGACCCTTCGTTTTTAACCGAAGTCGATTCTTGAAATTTGTTGAATTCGAAATGTTATCTCAGTATTTTTCAAAATTGTTTGTCTGTTAAAATACTATGTACTATCTTTTTATGCGTCCATTTCCTCAAGGAAATAAAAATATGCTAAAAACATTATTGATAGTTAGTAAACATTATCAACAAAAGATTGGCAGTTTTATACATTTTTAAATCATAACGCGTACACGCGTAACCGAGTATCGCTCGACTACCGCGTCTGACTATTATTCGCTATTGCTACTTGTGTTGGTTTCCGTGAACACTGACGATAGTATAGTATATTATCCATTTTTTCGTCGACCTTGTTTTCCCCTAACTACTGGTAGTTGAAACCAGATCAAACAAATAACACCGCAGCACTATCGATGTTTTACAAACACGAACACGAGTAGAAATAACGAGGAATGATCAGACGCGACGCCCCAAAACCCTATTCGTTCGCAGACGCAACGGATCTTCAAAACCGAGCTTCACTGAAACGATGACAGACAGACGCGTAATCAGATGAGTAAACTTTAATCGTTTAAATTTAGGTAACGAAGCTTATAATTATAAAACTGTAATTTTTCATTGTTGTTTACGCAAGAAATTAATGTCGTGAAAAGGATATTTTCGTACATTTTGCCTACATTCTGCAATTCTCTATTTGTGAAAAGCAAAGGAATTCTAGCTAGATGGTTCACGGTGAATCTTAAGAAACCCTGGTTTAAGTGAAAGAAGAATCTAAAAAACGTTTAACATTAAAACTATCTAGGTTAGCGCATATTTATTATACAAACAACTATATCTTTGTAATTAGAGGGAAGAGGAGAAAACTAATTTATCGAACAAATGAATTTCCTATCATAATGTAAAAGAAGTAAATTATCCCTTATATTCGTTTCAATTAATTTCATGTCTCTATGGTCGGTTTGAAGTTCATGAGTCGTATCGATCGACTTTCTAATTTTAGGGTTAATTTGTCACGTGTTGGTTTTGTAGCTAACGCGTTATTCGGGTCAAACGAGCAAAAGAAACGTATGGCGATCAAAAATTTCCTAAATCTGGGTCAAACAACTCGTAACCTTCGGTGTCGCGCTTTTCAAGCTTGACAATGAGCTTCGGCAAGGGAAAATCATCCGCGGAAAGTCCACGAGAAATTATGCCAGAGAGGTCACAGCTGCGACTCGAATCTGTGAATGTTACCCTGCGATGGAAAAATTTAAATGAAAGTAAAATCTAATAAAGGTATAGCCAAACATTCCACAATTAGATCAATGCCGACAATTTTTTCGATTTCAATGTTTGCATCAAACGAAGATACTATAATTAAAATTCTGATTTTTATTTTACGAATGAGAGATAAGACTTTATCTACAGTAGTTATATTATAACTTATTAGTTTAGTTATATTACAGTAGTTATAACAAATATAACTACTGTAGATAAAGTCTTATCTCTTATTCGTAAAATAAAAATCGGAATTTTAATTATAGTATCTTCGTTTGATGCAAACATTGACATCGAAAATCTTCTCTGTAAATATGAAATTGGCCCACCTGAAATTCTAAAATGCTGTTACCCGTAGGTAACGTCAGTGTAACGAACGAAACAATTAACAATTTTCTCCCACGCCAACGACTCTCTAAAGTAAATCTCGCGTAAAATTACGACCAGTCACGGTCGAACTCATGATTCGTCGAATTCGGGTCGAGCAAAACGGTGCCGTGACGGTTGACGTTCCATGGAATCTTCTTTATCCATCGTAACGCTGTCATGTTGTGGTGTACCGGTCCGAAATAAATTATTTCAAATAATTAATTCGCATGTTTATTTTAATTTAAATTTCATCAAGTCCGACTAAAAGAAGGTCATATAAAAATCTTTAAAGTATTAATATATTATAACCATATGCTACTGCAAGGTAAGTACCTATGCGAAAACTAACTGTAAGCAAAGTAATTCTAGGTACATATGAATGTAGATCGGATGTAATAAATATTTTTAATCAAACTATAATATGTTTCACTTTGAAGGAATAACAGTTTATTCGGATAACTGTTAGATCAAATGAATATTGCAAATAAATTCATTGTCCGGAGTTTTAATGCGTCATTTATTATTCCAATAAAACTATGTTCATCTGTGGTTCGATCATAGTTGACTCTATACATCTCCACGCACGACCAAGATGACAACCAGTTTTCTAACTGTATAGGCCATAACCATTCGCTGGATTGCGCGCACGCGTACGTTCTACAACCGGTTAGTAGAAGTGAGTCATTGTTTACTAGAGTTTTAAGCGGGATTTCCACATGCAACGACTACTGGCGCCAGTAACCCTTACATCAGGAAAATGTGCAACTTCACCTGACGCTACTTTACCGGCACCAGTAATCATTCCGCCTGGAACCACGTAAACGTCGCCTGGTGCTATTTTATCATCGTTATGTTACTGGTGTCAGTTGATCGGTATTGCGGTTGATCGGAATGCTTGATCGGAATTTGCGTGTTTAAAATTTGCAAATATAGTCAGCTGAGTTTCTACGTTTACAAAACAAATAGAACATGTTGCACGTTATTGCCAACTATAAGTTCTAAAAATATCCGAAATGGTTGGTTTCAAATAAAAACATCTCTTTTATACCGTAGGTCTCGGAAGATCCCTTGACAGTACTGATGGATTCTGAATCCGTCGACTTAACTTCTACGTTTAACCTACCCTACGGCGTTCGAGACACCGATTTGTTATATGCAAATTAGTGGGAGGCTCCTCAAAGAAGGGGTTCGAGGAAGTTTGGAAGCTTATATGAGTTCCCCAAGTGCCTTCAGGGTGCAAAGTATAAACACGTCGATTACGTACACCGCCGCTTAAATTATCAAGCACTTTTCGAACTTTAAAATAAATAATCCCTTTTTCGTATGTACACAAACCTTCTACCGATGACATTATCATTAATTGAACACTAATCGACCCTACACGGTATGAGCTTTGTTTTATCATTCAAAAAAGAGACTGTTCTTGGAGGTTCTCTTCCATGAAATTTTTCCTTTATAAATGTACATACGTTAATTGTTTTAATTTCTGGCGAAAACTGTAAAGTTCGGTATATGTGTTAATAGAGCTAATTTTAGAGCGTCAAAGACGTTTGACTCTAAGATAAAGACACAGAGGACTCTGAGGACCCGATCGCTGAAAGCATCATAAACGAACACTCCTGGTACTTAGCACGAGGTTGGCCAGATGATTCTAGATCAAACGCTTTATTCGGGCCGGGTTGCCCCGAGTGAAATTCCTGAAATCGTTTCGTTTCCCCTGCAGCAGCGTGGAACGCGATGCTCTTCCGCGCACGCAGCGTGAAAGTAAATTCGATTAGCGTCGGCCACTTTCCACTCGCGACGGGGTAAATTCGATTGACGCTGCGATAAGATCGAACCATTAACAGCGGAAAACGAGTTGTCTAAATTGATATAAGCATGCGTAAGCGAAAGCACTCAGGAATAGTGCTGGGAACCTTCTATTCAAATTTTCTGTATCGAATAGCATCCAAGTATTACAATGAAATATTTCTATTTAAATTGAAGTTATGAATGATTGAATATAAAAGAAGAGAATTAATTTCTACGCTTAATATTTGTCTATTCCTAATATAATAGACGGAAACAGAGCAATATGTTCAAATCTTTAGTATTTCAAACACTACACTCGCATACTCTAGATTTCTAAATTTTGCAATTTTAAGAATTATTTAGACATAAAAATTCGAATAACGGCATTGGAATAGTGGTATCGTAATACTTGTCAAGTGTTCAAGTATTGAACTATACTAATAGTTCACAGCCTTAATCGAGAGGACGTTCGCGACGAAAGGGGATCGCGGACGTTTGCTTCAACGAAACTTGACATCCATCCATTGCAGAGCCGACAGCCAATCCACGTCGAAACCATCTACGAATCCGCTCCGAACCTCTCGATCCGCTCGAAAAAAAAAAGAACCTGGAAACCGATCGAGTGGTGTCGAACACGTGCGCGTCTAAATTTCGATCAAGTCATTCCATCGCGTTGACCAGAGATAGGAAAAATGATTATCTAGGTAAAATAGTTAAAGTTTCCAGAACATTTTGTGTATATTCCTTATTTCTGGTATTTCTGAACATAATTTTTGTGCGTGACGAATGTGCTCCGTTTGTAATACAAAATTTAGGGGAAAACATTGAAACTACTATGTGCTGTCTTGCCAAGCGGCGAACGAGCAGTGATAGAATTGAACCGCGGGCGGTCATCCATGTAATTTCACTGTTTACGACAGCGCGATAGTTGTTCACGCGAGTTAGGTTCCCGTTAAGCCTAACGTAATTCGCTGAAGAAATTGCCGGTGCCCCATCTTCTAAATATACGAGTGGAAAATTCGTATCCATTTACGGGGTGACCCGATAATCAAACGGCCGACGCACGGCGGCCGTGGCGCGCCAGGTATAAATATTTCCCAACGAGCTATTTTTTTCTCCCTTTCACCCTTCGTTTTCACGCCACGTAGAAAACACCTACACACGCTCATCTTTATTTCTCTTTACATCGCGCTACCAACAACCACTGTGCATCCTCCTCCACTAGTATCAAAGATTTTTCACCACGCGTTTGCAATTTATTCTTTTCACAACCTGAATTATCAATTCCTTTACCTGACCAGAAACACTTTAACTACGGGTCTACATGGAAACATTCAACAACTTTAGAAAAGAGCTTTCTATATTACGATACATTAGGCGAAGAAATTAATTCTGTGCTTTTACATTCAATCATCTGTACCTTTAGATTGAGAAGAAATATTTAATTACAAACTTTCTAGGTTCTCGAACTTGTCTCCATTATAACGAATCTGTGAAACTGGTACCCATAGAGTACAATATATTTTATATAAAACAGTTTTTTCCGAAAATCAATAAATAATGTACTTCGAATGACAAT